AAAAAACAATAAAATTGTCTTTTGTATATCTACGAGCATAATGTCGTAGTGGTTGGAATAGTTCATCGATGCCCCCTTCGAGTAGTTGTTTGTTGGGGCAGGCTGCAGTGTTATCTGGAATGCGCTGTTAGGCGTGGGTGCCTCCGGGGCCTGGACCAGTTGGCGGGATCAGTCGAGGTTGGTAGCCTAGTATATGTGCCGGTTGTCGTTGTCCCGCATCTCCTAGGAAGTGTAGCCGTTGTTTGGTAAGCGTGAAGTGGTTTAGGAGGAATCCAAACATGGCTCTTTCCTCTGGTGTCCTCTGGGGTGGCAGCCTTGATTCCTTTCGTGAATTGAATTGGGAATGTCTTGGCCCTTGGTATTCGACTGGATATGCAGTAAGATAGCTTAGGGCGACGGCTGAGTTTGCGATTGCTGACTTTATAAGGGATTGCAGTCGTGGAAGTTGACTTAAAAGATTTTCTGCTGGCTGAGTAACAAGCAGGTTGAGGAGAAGGCGAAGGGTGATGGTGTCCTCTTCTCCATAAATCTCCATGCATGCTTCGATGATGTCAAGGGTGGTGGTGGTGGTTGCACCCTCTGGGTTGGTTACTTGCTTGGTTATTGTTACAGGATGAGCGGCAGCTGTAGTTATTATTGTGTCTGGTGGGAGGATCGGATTCTCGCTCGTTGCCCCCTCCCTGTGGTACAGAGGTGGGGCTGTTGGGAGCGACGTCATTTCAGGGGGCCGGCTTGTTGGGTGGAGTTCCACCTGTTCTTCTGTGGCTCCGCCCTTCTTTTTCAGCTCCTCCGGGCAGCTCATATTTTTCTCGGTGCCATTTTCTGGTGGCAACGGAGGGTTTTGGCACACTGCCATCTCCGCAGCAGCTTTGTTGACTGTAGCTAGCTGGGTTTTTAAGTTTGTATTTTCACGCAGTAGGAGTGACACTACGTTAATCATCTTTTCTTTGTCCCACTCGGAGCTTGCCCACTCCTTTTCGACTCCCTCCTCTCCGTTCAGCGAGAAGTAGCCGCTGACGCACCCTGTCTCCGCTCCGCTTGCTTGGTGATAAGCGATGTGGGCCCATAATTCATCCGCGTTATCTGTGTGGCGCCCCTCACTACACCAGGGGCAGTTCTTAATTAATTCCACCTCCATCACTTTTCCCCTTGATCCTGTTCGTGACGCCATGTC